AGCGGAGCGCGCTGCCCAACGGCAGCGGTGGGCCGGGCCGCGCCGGGCCCGGCGGGGGAGCGGAGGGTCGGGGGAGCAACAAGTGCGGCTCACGGTGGGCGCGGACCTAGGAGCGACCGGCGGGGTGGGAAGCTGTCCGGGAATAGCGGGGGCCGGAGAAGACGGGGATTGGGGCGAAGCCGGGGCATCCTGGGACACTCGGAAAAGTTGCGGCCTTCGCGGAGCTCGGTCCGGACGACGTGGAGCAGGACCCGCGCTCGGTGTCCCGGGGTGGCGGACCTTCCCAGCCTAGGTGGCGAGGACCTCTGTCCGGGGCCGGAGCCACGTGCCCCGGTCCTTCCCGCGGGGCCTCCCGGCTGCTTGTCGGTGCCCCTCTCCGGTAGCTCGGCCCGAACCTCGGTCGTGCCGCTGAGAGGACCCGTAACGAAAGTAGACCTCGCAGTTCCCACCTTTTGCTTGTAAACTTCTCAGTGTCAACTTCCGTTTTTGTTTCTTTTCAAATGAATCGTTTTTAACTAAAGGAAATTGTTGACATATAAAAAGGGTGCTTAAAATGTTCACACATAAAATAGGTACTTGGCATGGTGACCTGTGCTGCCTCTATTCTGTCTTGAAGGTTTTTATTTTAATATATAGTAAGAGTAGTAGTGTTAGGAGCTACATTACCTTAGAAAAATAGAACTTTAAGCCTCAAGTAATATGTAAATAAATTGTTTTACAACTTTTGATTACTCATCCCCTTAATGAAATAGGCAAACAACATTTATCATGGATGAGCATATCACAATGTGCTGAATGTCTACAGTGTAAGAAAGAGAACTCCAGCACAGATAGGCGGAACCTCGGTAGCTGTACCTGAGATCTTCAAGTCTCACAACTTCCCCAAGCCATCTCTGGAGCCCATTCGCCTCCTTTTAGATGGATGGGAGTTAGACTTGGTAACCTGTGTTCAGTCCTGTGTATCCGAAGTAGCTAATTAGAATATCCTCCTGTGGATCAGTTGTAAGTCAGAGGATGCTGTAGAAGTTGTTGATACATGTTTTGTCCCCAGCTCAAATAGGAAGGCTTGCTTTCATTTTAGAGCGGTGTACACCCACCCAGTTGGTAAGAAAGTGAAAGCAGAATATATTTTAAAAATTGTATTTGAAATTTTTATCTTGTTTGAATTGAAGGTCAGCTTTTAGTTTTATTCCACTTCTTGCTTACAACAGTCTTTGTCCTTTTAATTATTGTAGGAAATTAAGTTTTCTCAAGACACTAGTTAGAAATATGCTTTCTCTCCTTGAGTCTTAGGCAAACTGAAAAGATAATCATTTGTTTTTCAACTAGTTCTTTTATTTTCTATTAATTATTTTTTGATTTATTTCAATGTACAGGATGATAATGAAGATAATTCAAATGATGGGACCCATCCATCTAAAAGGAGGCGAATGGGCTCAGGAGACAGCTCCAGAAGCTGTGAGACTTCAAGTCAGGACCTCAGGTACGGCCCCTGCCACCCCCGACAGCAGGAGCAGTTGTTAAAAGTTATATTTATGGGCTGCAGAGGTGGTCCAGCAGTTGGGGTGCTCGACGCCCTTTCAGAGGACTAGAGTTTGTTTACTAGAGTGGCCTGTGGGCTCCAGAGGATCTGATATCCCATTCTGGCCTGCATGGATGAGCGTGCGCGCGTGACACACACACATACACACAAAGCAAAAAATATAAAGCTCCAAATCTTAAGGAAAAAAAGGTCATATAACACCAAAGTAGATCTTGTTACTGAGAGCTATTTAAAAAATTATGGTAAATTCGGTCCATGACGCTCAGTATTGTAACACTGTTGAAGTGCATAGTTCAGTGGCATTAATTCCATTCCCTCTCCAAAACTAAAGGAACTCAGATGGCGCAACCCTGCAGCTTCTGTTCCTCCCCTCTAGCTTCCAGCTCCCAAGTGTGAGCCATACA